CCTGAGCCAGCATGGGGGAACTATGGCCCCTTCATGACTTGTGGACTTCAACTCCCAGAATTCCTGAGGCAGCATGGGGGAACTATGGCCCCTTCATGACTTGTGGACTTCAACTCCCAGAATTCCTGAGCCAGCATGGGGGAACTATGGCCCCTTCATAACTGGTGGACTTCAACTCCCAGAATTCCTGAGCCAGCATGGGGGAACTATGGCCCCTTCATAACTGGTGGACTTCAACTCCCAGAATTCCTGAGCCAGCATGGCTCAGCTTGGAAACCTCTTCCTTTCTCCTCAGCGTGGCTGGCTCAGGAATTCTGGGAGTTGAAGCCCACAAGTCATGAAGGGGCCAAGGTTGCCTACCCCTGGCATAGGCCTTACTTTCGGAGAAACACGGTACATACAAACCAGAAGAATGTACCAGAACGTACACCCCAGTTGCCAAGGGCCCAAATTTTGCTCACATGACCACAGCGATGCTGCAACCGTCATAAATGTGAAAAATAGCCATAGTCATTTTTTTCCAGTGCCTCTGTAACTTCGGCCACTAAACGAATGGACGTATGTCAAGGACCGCCTTACTGAAGGAATTCTGACCATCTTGCACAATTCCCATATGCCCAAAAACATGTTTTTGGCCTTCAAAGTCCCACAGGCAAAAGTAATACGTTTCCTAATATTTGAGCAGGCATCCTTCGCTTCTGTATCCAAGCTGCTCAAAGAGGACAAGCAACTGGGACGGCCCCCCGTTCTGAAGTGTTAATAATAATAACAATAAAGCCGGAAGGGACCTTGGAGGTCATCTAGTCCAACCCCCTGCTCCGGCAGGGAACCCTATACCATTTCAGACAAATGGCTGTCCGGTCTCTTCTCCACTATCTCCTGCTCCCAGAACCAGGAGCCGCGTGAAGGAATGTCCAACCGTAATCTGGTTTAGATTCTTCTGCTGATGAACCTTGCAGATTTGGGAGGCGTACCTGATAATAATGGAAAATGGAATCGGCCATTGCATCTTTCCCAGGCATGGTGTTGGTCCAAAGCTTTTTCATGAAAAAGACTTGGTAGGTGAGGGAAGGCACAAGACCTAGGAAGCAAAATCAGGGCAACATTCAAAGTTGGGTCTTGATTGTGCATTGTGTGACGACCCACGATTAATTTAAGGCAGCGTTTCTCACCTTTAGCAGGTTTTAAGATGCATGGACTTCAACTCCCAGAATTCCCCAGCCAGCATTTGCTGGCTGGGGAATTCTGGGACATGAAGTCCACCCATCTTAAACGTGCTAAGATTGAAAAATATCTATAATCTATAACAGTGGTGGCGAACCTATGGCACGGGTGCCAGAGGCGGCACTCAGAGCCCTCTCTGTGGGCACGCGCGTCGTCGCCCCAGTCCTAGGCCTTCAGCTGGGTTTTATAAAACCTTTTCGCTTTAGGCCTCCACCGCCATGTGCAAAAAAAAAAAAAAGGTTCAATCAATCAGTCAATTTCAACTTCTCGCTGGAAATAAAAAGATCTTGCAAAGTTGGAATTGATTGATTGAACTTTTTAGTCCCACCCAGTCTGCCATTACCACTGCAGCCATGCCCACCCAATGGGCCATGCCCACCCAATTGGCCACACCCAGCCAATGGGCCACACCCACTCGGCACTCGACAATGCATAAGTGGGTTTTGGGTTGAAGTTTGGGCACTCAGTGTCTAAAGGTTTCGCCATCACTGATCTATAATAACATTAAGAGGTTGTGGATGCAATTCAGAGTCCTGACTGCAGGGGGCGCTGCAGAAAGCTGTCTACCAATGTGGACATGTCACCCAAAGGAAATAATAAATTTGTTTTTTTTTTAATTTGGGGAGAGGAAGTGGTGTGTGTGTGTGTGTGAGGTCCACAAAAGGGTTGCTGGAGATGCCTGCTGTAAGATTGCCCCTTCCCCAATTAGTTCTTTGTAAAGTGAAACCATTTGTTGTTTGTTCCTCTAGTGTGACAGGTGAGAGACACCTCTAGGATCGTCACTTTGTCGCTTTCCTTCGCACAAAAAGTTAGAATCCCTGCTTGCAGAAATCTAGTGTGGCAGGAAAAAAGATCAGGATGTCCGGGAAAGAAATGAAGAACGGAAAATCGTTGTGCAAGATCCAGCAGATTTTGACAAACGACCGGGAAAAAAAATCACCGTGCTCAAACTGTATTCGGTGTCTTGAAAAGGACACTGAGTTTGCACACAGATAGTCCTCGAGTTATGACTTACGTAAGGGAGCCTGGCCATCGGGGTTATCAATCATGACGGTCGTAAAATAAGGACCACGTTAGTTGCTTTAGGCCTGAAGCTATCGTTTAAGGACCAGCAGGAAAAAAAGGCAATAAAAATCAGATCCGTCACATGGGTGATCTGATTTACTTAAGACGGAAAGACCTGGGGGGAAAAAACTGGAAAAATTGGGGAAAAAACAATATTTTCCCATTTTTTCCCAACGGCTTTGGGGGGGGGGGGTAAAAGCCTTGAAAAAACCTGTTTGTTTCCCATTTTTTCCAGGTTTTTTTTTCTAGGCCTTTCCATCTTAGGTAAATCGGGCCTTAGATAAATCAGATCACCCACATCACTACAGGACACCACAGGACACTGCCAAGTTCCTGACGTGCAGTCATGTGACCGTGTTGGGGGTGTACGGTCTGCCGTAAAATGGCCACTAAGCAACCAGTCGTAAGTTGAGGACTATTCGTGCTTCCTTTTCTAATCCTTTTTTTTGAAATTGCTTGTTAACTGTTTTTCAAATATTTAGGAGCTTTCGCATTCGACAAGTCTGAAAAACGCCAAGGCAGTTTCTTTCCATCTTTTTACAAGTTTAAGGACTCAAGCGGGATTTTTTGGGGGGGTTTCGTTTTGAACCAAAAACAAAAGGGTGATTAGAACTTCGATTTCAGAAGGTTACAAACGGGCGATGGGTCCAGATGATTTTGAAATAAGACTCTGGAAGGAATGATAAGAATCCTTCCCGTGGGAAGATGCTTCGGTTTTCAATTCAGTTAAAAAAAACATGACAGGATGCGATTTTCAAGGTTGGCCACCAGAGGGAACTAGAGGGAACTAGAAGGAAGTAAAGATTTATGTATTGGAGTCAAGATTTACCACGAAAGATTTACCATCTTTTGCTGGCCTCGCTTTCTTGATCCAGTCGGTCAGATGCCTGACGAAGTCAAAGAAGAAGTCTCCTTCGGGGACACTGATGACCTGGAAGAAGGCAATCAGTGCTTTCTCAACTTTGGCCCCTTGTAGATGTGCATGCTGGGGGATTCTGGGAGTTGAAATCCACCCGTCTTAAAGGGACCAAGGTTGAGAACTACCATGCTAAAGGGAAGGAAATGAACAGAGCTGCCAATGGAGATTCTCAGTCCTCCAGGTCAGTTATCCCAAAGGTGCTTCTTCACGAGTGATACTCACTAGCCCTGCCCCATTCTTGCATGGCACAGCGCCTTATTTCTGCGAGCTGCGGTGCGGCGGCAGCCATTTTGGCACCTTGCAACGTGGCGGCGGCCTGTTTTTGCACCCCATGGTGCAGCGGTGCCCTGCTTCCATGCCCCGCGGCACAGCGGCAGCCAGTTTTTGCGCCCCATGGCGCGGTGTCCTGTTTTTGTGCCCCGCGGCCATGGTGCTACCGCAAGTGAGGGGGTGCACACACACATGCATGTGCACTAGCCAAACTGTCCTGCAGCCCGGTGGCCTGAGCCCACTACCGGGCCATGGCCCACAAGTTGGGGACCCCTGCCCTAGTGGTCTCCCATCCCAATATTAACAAAATCACAGAATAACAGAGTTGGAAGGGACCTGGGAGGTCATCTAATCCAACCCCCTGCTCAGGCAGGAAACCCTATACTATTTTGGACAAATGGCTGTCCAGTCTCTTCTTAAAAACTTCCAGGGTTGGAGCATTCACCGCTTCTGGAGGCAGGTTGTTCCACTGGTTAATTGTTCTAACTGTCAGGAAGTTTCTCCTTAGTTCTAGGTTGCTTCTCTCCTTGTTTAGTTTCCATCCATTGCTTCTTGTCCTGCCTTCAGGTCCTTTGGAGAATAGCTTGACTCCCTCTTCTTTGGGGCAGCCCCTGAGATACTGGAAGACTGCTATCATGTCCCCCCTCGTCCTTCTCTTCGTTAGATTAGACATCCCCAATTCCTGCAACCGTTTTTCGTCTGTTTTAGGGTTTCAGCATTAATGGACTGGGCTGGGAAAGCTTCCGTTAATACGGGATATAACTCTGATTAAAGTCTGGCCAGCTATGAGTTGTAAACTCACCTTGTCCGATATCTTGATAAAAAGGCTGAATCCCTCCGATGATTTTAAGAGCAGCCGTTTGGAAATGCTTTGACAGAAATCCTTGGCCTTGGTGCCAGATTCCACTTCAAACGCCTGGGTGAGAAACAAAGAAGAATAAATAACCTGGCTTAATACAAGCTGAGTTGAACTCTTGTGTCAGAGTGTGCAGAGTCTTACTGCGCTAGGTAACCCAGGAGTAAATACAGTAAACAGTGGTCTATATTAAATGGTGGTTTATCTTACACTATCTACAATATCATACACGCTAATACAGCAGGATTCAACACACCGTAGTTACAGCAGGAAACAGAAGAGACAGAACACACAGCAGCCTTTTATATAAAGGCTCTGAAAGGGACACAGACCCTGCTGAGTCATTCCCATCATTACATCGTATATCTCACGTTATACAAACTTGGAGGTTTACCTGTGTCCTCAGGCTTACTGAGTGGTGCAAACGGGTGATCTATCTCCAGTCTACAACACAATCCGTTCAGCAGTTCCAGGAAGGCTCCACGCCCATTTGCACCCCTACTCAGGTGACCCTGAGGACACAGACAAACTTCCAGGTGGCCTCAACGACTCTCTAAAAGGAGGCAAATGACCAGCTGTCTACAAGGAATATAAAGCACAACTCCACAATACAGTCCTTTCAGCAGTTCCAAGAAGGCTCCACACCCATTTGCACCACTCAGGTGACCCTCCAAGTGGCCTCAACGACTCTCTAAAAGAATGCAAATGACCAGTTTTTCTGCAAGGAGTATAAATCCTTCCCTTCCCCCACCATCCGGTCAGAGCAGAAGAAGCTTCTTGGAATAAGAAGCGAAATGTCTTCAAAGGAAAACAAGAAAGTTCCGTGGCCTCCTGAAAGACCATATTTGGGACAACTAGGACTTGGAGGACTGAGAACCTCCGTGGGCTTCACTGAAGAAGAGCAAAATCTCTTCGCTCTTGACATTCTGGATCTCCTCCTCTTGGCCTTCCCTCTGCTGCCTTCACCAAAGAAACCTGGGATGGACTCTCCTTACTGATCAGGATTTAAAAGTTTGGCCTTTACCTCATCGGTGTCGTCCGGGAAATAGACTTTGTGGAAAATCTGCGTTGTTTTATGCTGAATGGCCTCCACTTCGACCAGATGCGGTGGGTATTTTCGAGACCCGTTCCTACAAAAGACACAAACTTGATGGCTGTTTATCAACAACTCTATAGCAAACATAATGAAAATAAAAAAGAATAACAGAGTTGGAAGGGACACGGGAGGTCATCCAGTCCATCCCCCTGCTCAAGCAGGAAACCCTATACCAGTGCTGGCAAACCTATGGCACGGGCGGCACTCAGAGCCCTCTCTGTGGGCACGCACACCGTCGCCCCAGTCCTAGGCCTTCAGCTGGGTTTTATAAAACCTTTTTGCTTTAGGCCTCTGCCGCCGTGTGCAAAAAAAAAAAAAAAAAGTTCAATCCGTCAATTTCAACTTCTCGCGGGAAAAAAAAAAGATCTTGCAAAGTTGGAATTGATTGATTGAACATTTTAGTCGCACCCAGTCTGCCGTTACCACCGCAGCCACGTCCACCCAATGGGCCACGCCCAGCCAAATAGGCCACACCCACCCGGCACCCGACGATGCATAAGTGGGTTTTGGGTTGCAGTTTGGGCACTCGGTCTCTAAAAGGTTTGCCATCACTGCCCTACACCATTTCAGACAAGTGGCTGTCCAGTCTCTTCTTGAAAATCTCCAGTGATGGAGCAACCCACAACTTCTGGAGGCAGGTAGTTCCATTGGTTAATTGTTCTCACTGTCAGGAAACTTCTCCTTAGTTCTAGGTTGCTTCTCTCCTCGATTAACCGAGGAGAGAAGATATAAGTTGGATGGCTTTCTGATGAAATAATCCCTTCAGATATTGGGTACCCCTTCTTCGGTAAGAGACCTTGTGAGAGAACGCAGTTTATCAAATAGGAAAAGATGTCCAAAGTGGGTTGACCCCAGGCTTAATCAACACCTGCTGGGCCACAACAGCTGGAGCAAGCCAGCATTTATTTGATTCTGATGTTGCCTAATATTCTTTCCACCTCCTATTTTCTTGTAGCACTGCAAGCCAACCCACTGCCCACTGTCAGGAGTTCGATCCTGACCGGCTCAAGGTTGACTCAGCCTTCCATCCTTCCGAGGTCAATAAAACGAGGACCCAGATAGTTGGGGGGGGCAGTATGCAACAGGCTGACTCTGTAAACTGCAGAGAGGACTGCAAAGGACTGTGAAGCGGTATATAAGTCTAATTGCCCTTGCTCTTTTCGGCCACAAAGCACGAACCTCAGCGCTTTCTGCAGCCTCTGCAGGCAGTCGGGGGCGAGCGGGTGATGCTTCCGAGACTGGACGAATCTCTGGACGTGAAGAAGCAGGACGTTACTGGGCGCAAAGAGGCCGCTGCACAGCCAGAGCAGTTCCCAGCCTTTCTCTTCGCTGTACCTTTTCCGCAAGGAATATAGAATTAGAAGAACAGAGTTGGAAGGGACCCTGTAGGCCATCTAGTCCAACCCCCTGCCCAAGCAGGAGACCCCACGCGGGAGACCCGATATAAAGCACACTATAATATTCCAGAAAAGATAAGAGACTCCGATGGCGAATTTGTCAATGGTCAATTACAAAAGGCGGCCTTACTAGGAACTGCCTCCCTCCTGCGATGAAATCTGTAATGCCATCCATTCAAACATCCACATCTGCCTATCCCAGGTCCTTGGGAAGGACTCGATAGATAGACAAAAATGCCAAACCCAGTCGGAACATCTGGCTGATTGTGCGACGATCAACAATAACAATGACAACAATAATAATATTCCGACTGATGATCCCAACAAAGGGAAGCACAGCTGAGTCATTCCAATCTCTAATGCAAAACTTTATTGAGCACACCCTATCGGCACCGATGAATGGGAAACCAGCTCTGGCTAAATTGGCGCCAGATCGTTACATTAGAAGGGTAGAAACTCCCCTTTCCCCTGACAGTGCGGGTCACACTCCCCAGTTAAACTTCACACAATTATTAGGAGAAAATCTTCAGTTCCCAGCCAATGGTTCTCGGATGACCTCGATTCCCAGACCGAGCAACTCCGCGCCTGCGATGCACATTCCACTCATCCCCTCCCCTCCCCTGAGTCTGGAGGCAAGCTAGGAAACAGCAAGCGGAGGCAGCATAAAGTTTCTTTGAAGCTCGACACTTACTTGACGTGGTTGTCCGTCAGCTGCTTCAGGATCTGCGAGTAAATCTCGTCTCGGAGGGCTTCGGCCTTCAGGGCCCCTTCAAATATTTGATCCGTTAGCTCGTTCACCGAGCGGGTCCTTTTGGAAGGGTAATCGCCCATGTATTTCAGGATGGGTGTACAGGTTAAGGATATAATTGAAGACAAACAGTCCCTCCGCTCCATCCCTCCCTGTTCCTTTTTCCTTCTTTCCCTCCCTGTCAGCCCTCTGCTGAACAACGGATGTTCACACTATGGTCCTATGTTTAAGTAAATTCCCCCATGTTGTGTGGCTGCAGTATTATCCTTATTACCCTTCTCATCTTCTCTACTACCCGCTCTTATTGGTATCGTTATTGTGACTATTATTACTCTGTTGCTTTGCACGTACGCTGGGAGCTTCTGCACCGGAGACAAATTCCTTGTGTGTCTAATCACACTTGGCCAAATAAAGTATTCTATTCTATTCTATTCTATTCTATTCTATTCTATTCTATATTTTATTCCATCCTGTAATTCAATTCAATTCAATTCAATTCTATTCTATTCTATATTTTATTCCATCCTGTAATTCAATTCAATTCAATTCAATTCTATTCTATTCTATATTTTATTCCATCCTGTAATTCAATTCTATTCTATTCTATTCTATTCTATTTTATTTCATCCTGTAATTCTATTCTATTCTATTCTACTCTTCTCTATTCTATATTTTATTTCATCCTGTAATTCTATTCTATTCTATTCTATTCTATTCTATTCCATTCTATTCTATTCTATTCTATTCTATTCTATATTTTATTCCATCCTGTAATTCTATTCTATTCTATTCTATTCTATTCTATTCTATTCTATTCTATTCTATTCTATTCTTACTCTACTCTACTCTACTCTATACTCTATTCCAGTGATGGAGAACCTTTTAGAGACCGAGTGCCCAAACTGCAACCCAAAATCCACTTATGTATCATCGGGTTCTGGGTGGGCGTGGCCCATTGGGTGCATGTGGCCAATTGGGTGGGCATGGCTTTGGTGGTAACGGCAGACTGGGTGGGACTAAAAAATTCAGTCAATCAACTCCAACTTTGCGAGATCTTTTTTTCCCCACAAAAAATTGAAATTGATTGATTGAACCTGGTTTTTTTTGCATATGACGGCGGAGGCCTAAAGCGAAAACATTTTATAAAACCCAGCTGAAGGCCTAAGACTGGGGCGACAGTACGCATGCCCACAGAGAGGGCTCTGCGTGCCACTTGTGGCATGCGTGCCATAGGTTCGCCACCATGGCTCTATTCTATTCTATTCCCATTCTCTGTTCTATTCTATTGTCATTTCTTTCTTGCTTCTTGTCTTGCCTTCTGGTGCTTTGGAGAATAGCTTGACCCCCCAACATTTCTTTGTGGCAGCCCCTGAGATATTGGAACCCTGCTATTGTCCTTCTCTTCATTAAACTAGACCTACCCAATTCCAGCCACTGTTCTTCGTATGTTTTAGCCTCCAGTCCCCTGATCCTCTTTGTTGCTCTTCTCTGTACTCTTTCTAGAGTCTCAGCATCTTTTTTACACCGTGGTGACCAAAACTGGATGTTGCGTTCCAAGTGTGGCCTCACCAACGCCTTGTAAAGCGCTACTAACACTTCACGTGATCTTGATTCTTTCCCTCTGTTGATGCAGCCCAGTACTGTGTTGGCTTTCTTGGCAGCTGCAGCAAACGGCTGGCTCACATTTAAGGGATTGTGCAGTAGAACGGGACTCCGGTTCCATCCAGCAAGGCCGGGTTTATATTCCTAGGAAACCAGCATCAGACACCCCCCCCCCCCAGGGCAGAAGTTCCTAACCTTTTGGGCACCAGGAACCGGTTCCGTGGACAGAGGTTTTCCCACGGACCGGAGGGTGCGTGGTTTTATGTGCTACCTGCATCCCGCGGATGGGCCTTTGCTTGTGTGTGCGGACCGGTTGCTGGCATGCCGTGGCCCAGTACCGGTCCACAAACCAGGGATTGGGGACCCCAGTTCTAGAGTCTCAACGTCTTTTTTACATCATGGGGGAATTGGGAACCCCTGCCCTAGGATGTTTCTCATGCAGAAAAAAAGGGTCACCCCTTGAATCCAAACTCAGAAGGATATCAATGAAAGCCATGCACGCTTCTTGAGATAGCTCTTCGCTGCTCAGGATCTTCTTCATCAAAGGCTGCTTGATCGGCTCCCTCGTGTAGGACCAGAGCTTGTCCTTCCCTCGGTTCTTGGTGATCATCACCCTGCTCAGGGTGTGCTTGGGGGGCGGCCTGGCCAAAAGGAAAACAGGCGGTCAGACTTGGCACGGGCCGCCAGCCGGGACTGCTTGGGAAAACGGCACAACGAGTCAAGGTGTGTAATCTCTGTGTGTTTGCGTGGGGGGGGGTTCCTAGGATTGTGTTCCTTGCCTCAGGGATGCAAAAAAGGAAATGTACATTTCTAATTATGGTTTGGAGCTCAGTCAGCCAGACGTTCAGTTTGGAGTGGAGGTTTTTGTTCGCCTATCGGACCCTGGGTAGCCAAATGTGGATTTTTGACGGGGTTAAAGGTCTGGGGACAAGACGTTCTCACTGTTAGGAAATTTCTCCTTAATTCCAGGTTGCTTCTCTCGGTTGTTGTTGTTGTTATTATTATTATATTATAGAAGGGCAGATCCTAACATGATCCTGTTAACAAGCTGGGGGGAGGTACTTTTTTTCCCAAACAGTATTAAGCCGTAGTTTAGAATATAGAATAGAACAGAACAGAACAGAATAGAATAGAATAGGGAATAGGACAGAATAAGGAATAGAATAGAATAGAATAGAATAGAATAGAATAGAATAGAATAGAATAGAATAGAATAGAATAGAATAGAATAGAAAAGAACAGAATAGAATAGGGAACAGGACAGAATAAGGAATAGGACAGAAGAATAGAATAGAATAGAATAGAATAGAATAGAATAGAATAGAATAGAATAGAATAGAATAGAATAGAATAGAATAAGGAATAGGACAAGAATAGAACAGAACAGAATAGGGAATAGGACAGAATAAGGAATAGGACAGAAGAATAGAATAGAATAGAATAGAATAGAATAGAATAGAATAGAATAGAATAGAATAGGGAATAGGACAGAATAAGGAATAGGACAGAAGAATAGAATAGAATAGAATAGAATAGAATAGAACAGAATAGAATAGAATAGAATAAGGAATAGGACAAGAATAGAACAGAACAGAATAGGGAATAGGACAGAATAAGGAATAGAATAGAATAGAATAGAATAGAATAGAATAGGGAATAGGACAGAATAAGGAATAGAACAGAACAGAACAGAACAGAATAGAAAATATGGAATGGAGTGGAATAGGATGAATGGAATGGAATGGAATAGAGCTGGAAGGGATCTTGGAGGTCTTCTAGTCCAGCCCCTCGCTCGAGCAGGAGAACCTATACTATTTCAGACAAGTGACTGTTTAGTCTAGGGGTCTTCAAACTTGGCCCTTTTATGACTTGTGGACTTCAGCTCCCAGAATTCCTCAGCCAGCGTGCCTGGTTGTAAAATCGGGCAAAACTCAGCTAACAAATGCCTCGCTTAGTAACAGAAATTTTGGCCTCAATTGCCATCGTAAGTCGAGGACTACCTGTACTTGACCGGATTCTTGTAGATCAGGGGTCTTCAAACTTGGCCCTTTTATGACTTGTGGACTTCAACTCCCAGAATTCCTGACTGAGGAATTCTGGGAGTTGAAGTCCGCAAGTCACGAAAGGGCCAAGTTTGAAGACCTCTGATCTATAATCTCAAAGACAATAAAATCATATCCCATCTAATAGTAGCATATAAACAGCATACAGATAGTCCTCGTTTAGTGACTACAATTGGGGCCGGCTACTTGATCATTAAGCGAAGAAGTGGCTAAGGTCAGGGGTCTTCAAACTTAATGAAGTCCACAAGTCATAAAAGGGCCAAGTTTGAAGACCCCTGTTGTAGATAGATAGCAGTAATCAGCTCTTCAGTGATTTGAACTCAGCAAGTGTTCCTGGCATTACGCTCAATATAAAACAGCTTTACCTAAAATAATCGTAGGAGAATTCCTCCAAGGTGTACGGCTTTATCCTCTCCTCGCTGTCACTCATCACCAGCTGAGATGTCCTTATGACTTCTTGCCTCTGATTCGGAGTCATAGTAACCAAAGCCTGGAGGAGCAAGTTAGGTAGAGCAAATAAAGCTGGAGTGAAAATGAGTAAGATAAAGTCATGTGAGCCCCCCTTTTTTCCACACCCTCCCCCAAAACTACATCAATATTTTGCACCCCGTGTAGTAAGTCAAGGTCAGGCCTATTGTTCAGTATCGAAGAAAATTTGGGTGTCCCCGAACAAGTAATAAATATTCAATTGGATTTAATTGTGTTTTGAGAGCTAAGGTATTCTTACAAGATGAACGTTGAACAAAATCCCAAGATACTAAGGCTCTCCATCAAGGAGAGAAGCAACCTAGAACTAAGGAGAAATTTCCTGACAGTGAGAACAATTAATCAGTGGAACTACCTGCCTCCAGAAGCGGTGAATGCTCCAACACTGGAAGTTTTTAAGAAGAGACTGGACAGCCATTTATCTGAAATGGTAATAGGGTTTCCTGCCTGAGCAGGGGGTTGGACTAGGTGACCTCCAAGGTCCCTTCCAACTATTCTATTCTATTCCATCCCATTCCACTCCATTCCATATTTTCTATTCTATTCTATTCTATTCTATTCTATTCTATTCTATTCTATTCTATTCTGTATTTCTATTCCATTCCATATTTTCTTTTCTATTCTATTCTATTCTATTCTATTCTATTCTATTCTATTCTATTCTATTCTATTCCTTGTTCTGTTCCTTGTTCTGTTCTGTTCCATTCCTTGTTCTGTTCTGTTCTATATTCTATCCCTTGTTCTGTTTGATTCGATTCGATTCCAAATAGGACAACCTCCAGAAATGTGGATTTTAATTTCCCAGAATCCCCCTGGTGAGATGACAGTTGCTGAGAAATCTGGAGTTGAAGCCCACCCATCTGGAGGTGGTCCACTAGGAAAGAGGTGATGTGGAAAAGCAAATTAAATATTGAACCCTCAGAAGGAGGGCTTGAACAAACAATTATACCAATTCTATCTGCAAGAAAGCCACCAAGCTCAGAGAGCACCAAGGACCCCACAGTCCTCCTCCTTTTCCTTCTCCTTTTCCTTCTCCTCCTCCTCCTCCTCCTCTCCACAAACCCACCCCCTCCTATCTCTGATGATGTTACCAAGTTTGGTAATGAAATGTCTGCAAGAAAACCACCAAGCTCAGAGAGCACCAAGGACCCCACAGTCCTCTGGACGGATTCCCCAGGAAGACCCCTTTTTTTCCCCCAGTTCAAGAGTGTGTCGAGGGTTATATGAAGAAAAAGTATGAAGTGATTAATTATCATATAGCTTCTGAATAAATATTTTTCTTTTCTAATATTTTTTATATGTTTAATATAATTTATATATATATATATATATATATATGTTTTCTGAGGTTTTCGCGGGTGTTTGTATGTAGGTCTTTAGTTATTCGGGTTTTCTCCCGCGTAGAATTAAAAGTACCTTGGCGACGTTTCGACGAAGTCACATTCGTCATCTTCACACCACTGCGATCACACACCACTCTTAGAAGCACGAAGCTGAAGACACCAGCCTGAAGATGAC